AACATTTGGCTCTCGCCTGGGCGCCACGCGGACTTCGCATGAAAAGGGCGCTTCCGCCTCGACGCGGCGCACATGTCACTCGCCACTTTTGGCGGGCCCGGGCGGACGGGCGGCATGTCGCCCTAACTCCGCGCGAATGTCGCTCGAAAGTGGCCAGCGCGGGCGCGGCGCGCGACTCGTTGGCCGAATCGCATGAAAGCGACGCCTGCAGCGGGGCTGCGCGAGAGCGGGCGACTTGCCGACCTCGCCCATGCGCCGCGCAGCATGCGAGTGAAAGTGGCAGGGCTGCGTCGGCGCGGCGCTTGCTTCGTTTCGCCGCGCACATTGGGGGCGTTGCCGTCCCCGCCCCGGCGCGGCCCGCGCAATCATCTTCGCCAAATCGTCGGAAGCACGGCCTCGCGCGAACGCCTCCGGTTTGCGCGGTGCTCTCCCGAAGTCAAGTTGCGCAGCACTTGGTTATTGCGTTGCGGAGGGGTGGCGGGAATAGGCGGGGCCGCTCGATCTGGCTATCTTGGCTCAACTCCTACTCCTGCTCTACTCGAATCCGTAGATCCAGCGCGTGAATTTCAAAGACCCTCAGAACGGCCCGAGCCTCAATTCATGAGCTTCAGCTCGACCGGGGGGCGGGCGCCGGGGTGGCTATGCCGGGCGCGGGGGGGGGGTCAACTTCACCCCTGTGGCGGAATCGGAGCTCCAGCTCACTCAGGGACGGCCCCCTCGCCCAGGAGGGCCCCAACATGGACCGAGAAGGCCCCCGGTCGCCGACCGATCACTGCGAGGCGCCCAAGATGTCCGCGAGACGGCTCCAGAAGCCTCCAAGATGCGCTCAGAAGCCCCAAGGCCTCCCAGAGGAGGCCCAAAGGAGCAACGAGTGCCCCATCCACTCCCCCGGGAAAACTTACAATTCTAGCACATTCGCCCCTTGGGCCTCCAGAGCGTCGAAAACGCCCCGAGAAAACCCCAAAACAGCCCAAGAAACCGCCGAGAGGGCTCCAAGGCGGACCGAGAAGATGGCCCAGGAGGCCCCCGGAAAGGCCCGAGAGGGCCCCAGGACGGGCCCAAGAGGCGCCTGAGAGGGCGCCAACACGGCGGAAGTCCCAGAGACGGCCCACGAAACCCCCAGCAGCCCCCCAGAGGCCCCCAAGAGGCCCGAAGAGGCTCCCAAACGCTTCCAACTGGTCCCGAAGAGGCCCCCTGAAGCCCCCTGAAGGCCCCCAAGAGTCTCAACAACTGCATCCAAGACGCCTTCTAGAGGCCTCCAAACTGCCTCCAAGACTCTTCCCGAAAAGCCCTACACCGACCCCAATGCTTCCACGGCGCTTACGTTTGAACACAAGCGTTGCAATACAAAGTATTATCCCACGCTTTCACATATTCTCCCGTCTTCGGTGTCCTTCACATCCATGATCTCACAAAGACCCGCAGAGGACCGCGCGAAAGCCCCAGAGAGTCCAAAAAGACTATGGTTCCCAGCAGAGACCGGCGACGCACAAGGCTCCGCAAATAACTGCGACGCAGACAGCTCTAGCGCAAAGCTTTTCAGAGAATGCGCCAAATCGGCGAGGTGTCAACCCAAAGAGGGCCAACATCTGAACCCAAAAAAGGCTTTCCAACAACCGCCGAATATTTCCAACTACCGCCGAACATCTCCACATCCTCGTCGTGCTCCTCCTTCTCCCCGTCCACCTTTTCCATTTCCCGCTTCCTCCTGCTCCTCCTCATCCTCAGCATCCTGCTACTCCTGCCCCTCCCCCCCCGCCCCCCTCCACCTCATCATGATCCTCCTCCTCCTCCTCCTCTTCCTCCTCCTCCTCCTCCTCCTCCTCCTCCCCCTCCTCTTCGTCCTCTTCCTCATCCTACTCCGATCCTCCATTCCCAATCCTCATCATCATCATCATCCTCACCGCTCGCCGTCGTCGCCGGTCATGACCACCATCGCGCGCTTCCGGCAGCAACGGATCGGCGGCACTGGCCGGAGGCCACTACAATATCCTCTCTTCTACTCGACTCTATTATGCCCGAATCTCTGCTACCATCCACTTATCAACCCTATCCTGCTCGACTGTGCCCTACTCTACTCTACCTCAACCTACCCTACCTGGATCTACTCGACTCACCCTACTCCTGCTCTGCTCTCCTCTGATCGGCTCTCCTCTAGTGTACTCTGCTAGAACAGATTCAAAACATTGGCACACATACTTAAATATAAGTGCATAGTATATGTATGCTGTATTCCGCAATGATCCACGAAACTCTGATCTAGCATCTATAAATTTCTCCCGTTGCTCTACGCAACGCCTACTCTGCCCTACCCAACTATACTCCACGCCACCCTATCTTGCCCTACCCCCACTCGACTGTACTCTACCCCAATTCAACTCAACTCTCGACCTCCCGCTATTATACCCTGCTCTCCCGTGTTCTACTCTACTTCTACTCACATATTACTATCCGATTTGATCTACTCTAAAATACATCGTTTCTCAGTTTGACGATTGTTAGGTGCATGTTGGGACAACATTGCAATGACCACATGAAACATTTGAGCACAGGGAACCATGCGGAAATACAGGAAGTCATGCGCACAACGGAAACAATGCGGATACAGAAGAAGCCATGCGGAAAGCAGAAGAAGCCATGCACAACAGAGGAAGCCATGCGAAACAAAGGACGCTGGCAGATGAAGCCAGGTGTAACAGAGGGCGCGTGCATGGGCAAACTAGAAAGCCATGCGGATAGCACAAGAAACCTTGAGCAACACGATACGCTTGCAGGGGCGAGCTAGATGGGGGAGACCGTGGACCAGCTCTCCAAGAATTGGGCGAGGAGGCGGAGAAAATGAACGGGCGAATGCGTCGCCCGTCGCTGGACTGGTTCCGTGTGGGCGAGCCGCCGCTTCCCTTTCGTTTTTTGAATGTTGTTCCTGTCTCCTTTCCTGGAACCTTGATCCTTCTGCGCCTTTGCCGTTTACCGCCTAAAACGTTACCTTTCCCGCTGGGTGCCGCCACCAACGCGTCGGGGTCAAAAATTGCGCCGCGTGCGCTCCGAACAGTTTTCGCGGAGACGCCTGTGGTGCTAGGGACCTGCGAGAGCGTTGCTGCTGGCGGAATAAGTGGGTGGATGGGACGCCTTCAACTGTGGTGCTCCGCGAACCTCTGAAAACACATGTTTTGAACCATCTTGTCATTGCCCCGCCGGGACGAGGAAGCGGAATGAGTAACAGGACGAGAAGCGACAAGGCGAAGAGGAAAAAGGAAGGAGGGCGGAGAATGATGGAAAGATGGAAAAGGGGGAAGGAACAATACTAGGCACAAGAGGATGAGGGGCACAGAAAGATGAACAATGAACAAATAGAGGAAGAGAAGGATGAACCCCCGTGCGATTCGGGACCCCCCCACCCTTCATGGCGCCCCCTGCCGAGTCGAGGCCTCCAGGCCAACGTGGCTCGGAACATGTGAGGCACATGGGGCGGCCACGGCCTTTCCTGAAACTGCCCGGGGAGCTTTCGCTGCTTGTACGATACCGGGAAACAGAGGGAGAGAGAGAGAGAGGGGGGAAGAGAGAGAGAGAGAGAGAAAGATGGAGAGAGAGCGAGAGAGACACAGCGAGAAAAAGAAAGAGAACGAGAGAGAGAGAGAAAGAGAGGGAGAGAAGGAGAGAGAGAGAGAGAGAGAACAAAACAACGTGAGGGAGAGAGTGCACCAATTCGGGCGGAAATTTGTCCAGGCCCCGCAGCCGCACGTGCCGTGCAGACCGTTTTCTATAAAGCGGAAAGCGCCGCATACGAAGCAGGGGTAGGGGCATCCTCCCCCCTGGCGCGGTCGGTGGGGGCCACGACTGGAAGAAAAGCGGGTGTGTGGTGAGCATGCCCCTCAAGGGCCCCTCTGCGCACCCGTGGCAGAGTAAACCCGGCCTTCACACGCGCTCTGGCATGCGCGGCGTGGCGCTTGTGTCAGAGAAGGCGCCACCTTGGGGCGCCCCCCGCGGCGGCCCAGCACAAGAGTTACGGACAAGTTGCCAGCAGTTCACGAAGCACCCTCATAAAAATGGGGACAAGCACTGTTGCGCCTATCGGTGAGCATCGAATCGCGCCGGGTGGCTCGCCTGGAGAGACGCCCCGAGGCGAGCGGGTGACCGGGCCTGACGAAGGTCGATGCGGGCGGTCTGTGCTCTTTGAGATCTGTCAAGACGGGGTCTTGGCTGTTCCTGGGCGCTACGCAGCTTATGCCCAAATCTAGTAGCAGACTGGTGCGTCGTCGAGATGTTGGATGTGCGGGCGGTCCCGACATCGGGGTCGGAAGATTGACTGGCGGCCGTGAGACGTTGCGAGACACGCCACGTACATGGTGCGCAGCGTGGTCGCGCTGGCGTTGCCGTGCCGTCCCGTCGCACTCCTCAACGTCGTAGTGCTGGCGCTGTGTCCCGTCGTGCTGCTGTGAGGCGACTTGGCGACTGGGGCGGGATCCTGGCGGCCGCCCTCCTCCACATCGTCGCCTTGTGCGTCCTCGCACGCGGATAGAGCGAAAGCATGGCAGTGGGGGCTGAGCTGCGTACAGTGTGGTCTGCAAGGAAGGCGGCATTCCGCCTGGGGCGGGGTCCCAGTGGCCCGCCGCCTCCACAGGCCTCCCGTGCCGCACCGTCGTGCTAGACTGCGTCCCAAGCCCGGTTGCGTAGGTGCTGGTGGGCGTGCTGCTCGTGGTTCGCGAGAGAGAGAGAGAGAAAGAGAGAGGGAGAGAAAGAGAGAGAGAGAGAGAGAAAGAGAGAGATGGAGACAGAAATAGAGGGAGAGAGCGAGAGCGCGCGCTGAGAGCGAGAGGAAGGGTTGGGATTGAAGCCGAGCGAGGGGAGGAGATGGGTGGCATGGATGGTCCGGTTCTTCCCCGACCGCCGTATCTGACGGATGCAAGGTACGCCCTCCCACGGCCGGCTGGCACTGGGGGTCAGAGCTCCTCTTGTCTGACTCAAGGGCAGGGGAGGCTCGAATCGACAGGCCGTGGCTCCTTGATCGTCGCAGCGCGGAGCCGCGTCAAGGCACGGAAGACCGCGCGCTTGATCTCCGCCACCTTTCCCGGGAGGGGTGGAGGGGGTCGCTGGCACGGAATGGGATCGTTGGCGCGAGGAAAGGCAAAGGGTGCTCGGGGCGTCAAGAGATGGCAGACTGCCCCCAAGACGGCCCAAAGAGGGGCCCAAAGGGGGGGAGCCTGAACCGACAAGCCGAGCCTTCCGCCCCGAAACGGCCTCAGGGGGGCCCAAGAGGCGCCCAACAGGGCCCATGAAGCCCCCAAGAGGCCCCCAGAGGCCCCCAAAAGGCCCCCCAAGAGGCCCCCAAGAAACTCAAAATAAGCCCCAAGTACCACTTGAGGCATGCAACTTCTAACCCGCAACCCAGGCACCAAGGATCTCAGGGCGACAACCAAGGCACGGTGGTGGGATATATATATATATATATATATATATATATATATATATATATATACATACGTAAACATATATATATATATATATATATATAGATGTATATACATACACACACATATAGTATATACATACATACATACATACATACATACATACATACATACATACATACACACATACATACATACATACATACATATATATATATTATAATGTATATGATATCACATATGCATGTATATATATATATGTGCACATATATATATATATACACATCTATATATGTGTATGTGTGTGTGAACTGCCGCGGGCATCTACCTCGATTGAGAAGAAGAAGAAGAGGAGAAGGACGAGGAGGAGGAAGAGGAGGAGGAAGAGAACAACAAACAACGAAGATTTCGTCGTCGCCGCCGATGTCTCACGGATTTTCGTTGTCTTTCGACCACCCGAAACATATCCTCGAATTCGGCCCCCACGAACCGCTTTCGGTGCCGGGGACCACCGCCGAAAGTCCGGGATGAGGATCGACCTCCGTGGCCGGTGCCACCCCTTCGCAAAGGAGGGAACACGGGGTGGATCGAGGCTCGAGGCATGAGACTCCTAGTTCGTGGGCGCTCTCCGCCCTCTCTGGGCCTTCAGGAAGCTCCTCGTCGACACAGCTGGGTCCACTCTCGAACTTCTGGCCAGACGCAACCCCAGCTGGGTCTCAACGATCCCCGAGCCTAAGGTCGAAAAGGAGGCCTGGGACAGGCCCCGTGAAGGCCCCAAGAAACTCACATAAGACCACGAAAAACTCCAGAACAATCCCCTGCAAGGCCCCCCCTTGAACCCCACACGCTACGTAGGACAGGCCGAAACCCCAAGATTGCCCAGCGATTGCGCGCGTTCCACGAATTCTGTCTTTCAGTCTTGCTACCGCCGCAAGGGGTCGGCGGTGCGGCGTTCATCATCGTTCTCACACAGATAACGGCCGATGTAAACGAGGACGTTCAGCGGTCCTCGGACCTGCGCCGCCGACCGACAACGTCAACATAGAATACGCCGACGACACTGCTCTGATATCAGACAACATTCCGCCTCTGCAGTTCGCCTTGAATGTGTGGGCTGGAACCGAACTGGTCAAAAACTGTTCACTTGCAGGTCCGCCACAACGTGAATGTGGTCACGCCGCAAGGCGCGCTGATCAAGCTGGTGAATAGCGCCGTTTATCTTGGCAGTCTTCTGAAGGTAGGGGTCTGCAGGGGCGTCCATCGCGAGCAGGCTTGGCGAAGCATCGGCTGCGTTCGACACTTTGCATTTGTTTGGAAACACGCGAACTTCACGCGTGCCAGGAAGACGGATATTTACAATGCTTTCGTGGTGTGCAAGATGTTGTATAGCCTGGAAACACTTTGCTTACGCCAGGCTGACCAAAACAAGATCGATGCCTTCCAGGCTCGTTGTCCACGAAAGATCTACACATGCCACACTCAATGATCTCGCACATATTGAATGAAGAAGTCAAGTGGCAAGCCCGCCAACACCGACTGAGCGTTGCAATGTTGATGCGGCAATTGGTGGTTTATGGGCGGATTGCTTCCAAGCCGGATCAATCTCCACTACGGGCTGCTGTTCTGGCGCCGGGCTCGCCGGTACCTTCGCGACCAGCTGGCGTTCGAGTGCAAAGAAGACCCCGCCTGAGATGGGCAACAGTGATCTGGGAGCATGCGAGGCTAGCGATGTCCTCCTGTCCTCGCGCCCTCCCGCCCCTCTCCCTCCCTCCTCATGAGGCGTTCAACGCATTATTCAAGAGCCCTCGCTTTGCAGTGCATGGCCTACACATTTGGAAAGTAATTGTTAAACGATATAGTCTTTCCATTGACCCGATGAACGCAATCCTCGTAGCCGCTCTACTGCGCGGATGCGCGCGCGGGCCGCAGGCCGCTGGCCTCGGCGTTCTCCACGGCGTCCACCAGCGTGTCCTGCGTCTTGGCCGCATGGTCCTGGAGCTCCTTCGCGGTGTCCTGCGGGGCGCCCCCTGTCGGGCGACGTCGACCGACCACCAAGTTCAGGCCCACGCCCATCCTCGGCCCAGGATCGGACTGGCCAGGACCGGTGTTCCGTTGGCGTCGCCTGACCTTGCTCCCCCATCCCCCTCTTCCGCCCCTCGCTCCTCTGCCCTCCCTCCCTCCCCCCTCTGCTTCCTCCTGCCGTTTCTGCCGTTTCTCGCTAAGCAGCGTCTTCACTGCTTCCTCCTCCTCGTGTTCCCGCTCGCTTGCTCTCCTGCTCCTCCTCCTCCTCCTCGCCTTCCTAAGAGAGCTCCAGACATGGGCATGGAAAAAGGGGTGACGAAGCCCAGAGCAAACGTGGTCCAAAACCGACAGCGGCCGCTGTCGGGCGGGCAATTCGTGCGCGACCTCGACAACGATTCCTGCTCCCCTATGTGGACAAGAATTGATGTCCGTTCACCTTCCCGCTCTCTTTCCGTCAGCATGTCGGCCCTACCGATCCTCGTTCCGATCAAGCTGATACAATCAAACTGGACGGTGTATTTTTGGCTTCCACGACGGTTGGCTCCAGGCAACCTCCAGGAGAGACACATCATACATCAAAGCGGTGATCACAAGGCCAAATTCCGACAAACTCTCCGGGACAAGCGTTGAGCCCGCTTCCGCGCGTGAGCCGCTGGTGCGCGAGCAAGGGGGAAATACCCCGCCCCCGTGCACGTGCAGCAAGGGGGAGATACCTGGCCCGGGCTCCCAGACATTACTGGCGAGGCGCTCGGCCAAAACGGGGAGGCTGAGGAGGAGGAGGAGGAGGAGGAGGAGAAGGAGGAAGAGGGGAGAGACGATAAAGGACACGAACGCACAACAGCGGCGGCACATGTGGATTACGCTGAACGGAACATCTACAGCACAACCGCTCAGGGTTTCCGCCGGCGGGTCTGCGGGCACCCCGCACCGAAGATGGGTGCGACAGGTGCTGCTTGCATCCCCGCAAATATAATCACATCGCATGCCAGGCGTATGGATGGTCCACACAAGGGCACAAATCAATAACCGCAATTCCAGCCGGCGGCCATGCACAAACGTGCAAAGATAAACTATGAATACAACACACACGAGGAGACGACAGAGAGGGAAAGGGAAACGACGAGGAGAAAGGAGCTCAACTGACGGCCCGGGATGCCGCCACAACGGCGGCCAGACCAGGCTGCACTGCGCACGCTTCTTTGGCAAATTGGTCCAAAAAAGCGGCGGCGGCGGGAGTGCGCCCGTGTCGAGACGCACTGGCGGCGGCGTGCACGGCGTACAATGCCAAGGCCCGCCGCGCATGCTCGCTTGCAGCGGCCTCGCAGAAAACAGGAGGGAGGACAAGCGGTCCGAAGGGGCAGGCTGCTGCAATCTGGGACGAGAGCGGCTATAACGCGCAACGCGTGGGCAGTGCGCGTAATGTTGAATGCTGCCCCCACCGCCCCCGCAGCCGAAGGGACAAGCAGCGCGCCGCTGCATGCAGCGGCCGGTGACCCAGCCATTTTGGAACGCTCTGTAAACGGCTGCCCAAACCCCGGGGGGGGTACCAGCCGCGAAATGCCATTGAGGGCAGATTTCGCCCGTTCGAGGCGGTGGCCAAGGAAAACGCTGGGGAACGAAAAACGACACAAAGAGCGGGAGAGAGGGAGGAAAGCGCAGGAGCGGCTAGGAATGTGGAGCACAGCGAAACATCTGCGTTGCCAGCGGGCGCGCGGGACGGGCTCAGAATAATCCCCTCGTAGTAATGCGTCGATGGACATGCCGGAGTCGCGCGCGGTCCTCCGTATCTCGTCATGGGCGTCCTGGAAATTCTGGAAGAAGTTGCGCGCGTTCCAAGCGCTCCAAGTAGCTTGGCGGATAAGCCGGTCAGTGCTGTCGTAATAAGACGGTGCGAAAACTGGCCAAGCGCTAGGTGACTCGCAACCCGCCGTTCCCACAACCTTCCCACTGATACACCGGCACTTGGCAGCGCACGCGACGTTGCCGGCCACTGGGAGCCCCAAGGAAAACCCCAAAACCGTTGAGTTCCGCATGGCGGCGGGCGTGGTCCAAGCACGAGAGCCGAGGAATAGGATGTGACAACCTTCTGCTCGATCGCCTGCCCACTCGCCGGCGCGTGGGCCACTTGCAGCACGAAAGACAAAATTGGGAAAACGTAGATCCGATATGCGAGGATGGCCAGGAGCAGGCTGCCCCCTTTTTTTTTCCACGCAGAGACTCTCTGCAATAATTCCTCCGCAGCTTTCGTCCAAGATCGCCCAGCCCGCCCCGAACCCGCCACGAATCCAATATAAAATGCGTAGCGCTGGGCCGCAAAGCCCTCCCGTGAGGGGGCGGCGCAGGCGAGGCGATGGCGAACTCGAGGCAGGGGGCCCAGAGTCAAAAGGAGCCGCGCGCGGTTCCCGCGGCGATGCTAGAGGATCGAAATTTGGAAATACTCTTCGAACAAGTGTTCGAAGACTGCCGCGTGCCCCGCGCCGCGGGGAAGTGCTACTGCCAAGTCGCCCGCGAAATCAGAAGGCACTGTCGGGGGACGGCGCGGAAGTCGACGTAGAAGTACATATGACAGCAAAAGGAGAGGCGACAATGGGCACCCCTGTCGGACCCTGGCCGCAAGCGTGAAATCAGGGAGGACCCCTCCCCCCCCCCCCCCCCCCCCCCCGGCAGCAACGATAGAGCAGCGGTCGTTGGTGCACAGCGCCTTGACCAGACGAACGCACCATGGTGGCCAGCCCCGGGACTCGATCACATCCACCAAGAAGTCCTGGCACACGCTCGGGAACGCCGCTTCGAAGTCCAAGACAACGACCGCGGCATCGTCTGCTCCAAGTCCACAAGGTAGAAAAAACGTAGATCTGCCCCAGATGAAGCCTCGCTGCGCCGCAGATGCTGGGTTCAATCGCAGGCTCGATGCGACAACGAACGGCGCTGCAAATGATCATGTTGTCGGTGTTCGTGATGTTGAGTGGCCGCGTTGCGTTGGCAGCGTGGACGCCGGTGCCCTCCTCCGTGGTGCCCGCTGGTTTCTTCGGGAGGAGCGCCATGGAGCTCTCGTCGAATGCCTCCCAATCCTGCGCCAACTCATCATGCCCATCGGGGCCAACGATGGCCAGGAAGGCGCCGAGAAGGGCCCGAGCCGCCAGTGGCCCCAGCCGACGCCATGTCTTGAGAGAGATGCCGTCGGGCCCAGGAGAGCTATCGCCGGCGTTCTCGACGGCCCTGTATGCATCTGTCGAGATGGGGGGGGGGGGTGGCGAATCTCCTCTTCCAACCGCGCCGCCGTAGCCACCGTGCGAGGCCAATCTAGATGGTCAACGGCGTGATCGGCGAGAGGAGCAACATCCACAGGTGCTCGGCGCGGAAGCGCGCGCCGAAAGCTGACTGCCTGGTGACGGGATTGCTCGGGGGCCCCACTCCAACACAGCGCGGGAGAAATGCCTGTCGAAACCCTCTGCGACCTCCTGGTAGCGGCGGGTGCGGCCACGTCTGGAACGAGCGTCGGGCGCGGCGTAAGTCGTGTCGGGCGGGTGCATCTCGTGGAGGTGGTGGGTAATCTCAAACAAATTTCGACAGGGAATCTCCTCTCTCGTGTCCCGGTGCCCCGAGGGGGCGCCAAAGGAGGCGCATCGAAGGTCCCCGGAATCCACGACGCAATTGAAGTCGCCGCCCAAGATAATGAGGACTTCGTCCTTAGGGGCCATATGCTGACTGAGTGGCCGCTGGAGTGCATAGCGAAGTTCAGGAAACGAAGGGAGGCGCCCCAGATGCTCGAGTCCAGCTGCCTCAACGTCGAAGGAGTTCACGCTTTGACCAGTATGGAAGAACGCGACATAAACGTTCAGACGCCTCACATGGCCACGCATATGTAGCACAGCGGCTCAACCAGGCAAAAGCACCTGCCAACGAAGAGTCTGGCTGAACTGGTCGAGGAAACTGTTCCGGATGGCGACGCCCGCGCCGGCGCTCGAAGGCGAGGAGGGCCCAGGAGACCACCGAGAATTGAAGTCAGAAGGACTGCGCCAGACAGCATTGCCACCAGCGCTAGCGTGTGTCCCCGTCCACAAACCGATATCGCGCGATGCCATGAGTTTCCGAACGCATGCCGTCTTGTCGCGATGCCGCTCCACCTCAGTGGCGAATGAAGCCTGGCAGTTCCAGGCGACCGCTGAAACATCCCCACAAAAAGGGCCGCCGGCCCGTGGCAACCGGCGCGCCGCTGCAGATCGAGGGCAAAATCGTCGATGCAGGTTCGGCGAGCTCGCTCGTTGCAGACCCCCGCGCAACGCGCGGCGAAGGCGAACGAGGAAGAAGAGGCCAGTGTGTAGAAGATGACGCAGCACGCCCAAATCAACCGCAAAGAGCGCGTTGGCAAATGATGATGATGATGATGATGATGAAGCGCCTTGAAAGGTCGGTCCTCCCAAAACACAAACCTGAGAAGCCACCAATACGCCAAGTACGTACGGTAGAGGAAGAAAGAAAAGGGGAGAGAGGCAGGAGAGGAAAGAGGCGGAGAAAAGGTAAAGCCCAACCCAGGATTGAAACCCATGATACTGAAAGAAATCATGAATGAAAGACTGTCCAATATCCCAAATGAATCCCACCACTAGATCCCTCTTGTGTTGAATGAAGACGAGAAACATAATGAAAGAGGTGCCCAAATTTGACTCACAAGATCTTGAGTGACAATTGGGGCCCAACCTTGGAAGCACATGGTCCCAAGGTCTAAAGTAAGAGGTGAAGAAAACTTCCATTAAGTCCCATGAAACCCATTGAACATGAGTAGTGGTCAAGGCTGATATATATATATGACTAAAAGAGAATCTGACTGATAAACTGAATGTCCCAAGCACGCAATGAACCCAGAAGATACGGAGGCACGCAAGATAAACTGTCAAAGCTGAATGAGATCCCAACCGTGAGAACCCACACCAGGCATGTCGAGGAATATGGAATATGGGTGAATTCAAACGAATATGGAGAACGCAAGG